TTCGGAAATTCGCTTGACGTTGGCTGATGAAGATTATCGCGCATAAATCCATACGTGCAACTGCTATCGCTCTGCATAACTACGTAAGCCGGTGAATTGCGTTAATTCGCGTTACGATAGAACGTTGAAATCCATTTAAAAAATATATCATGAATTCTTTATCAATGTCGTTTTCTTTTCGCTGCGGCTACGCAAGCATTTCCGAGAAAGATGATTATATTGCAATATACAAAAATTGATCGATCACGTTGAAAGAATCAAAGAGCAATTACATTCCAAATATGGAAACAATTTATTAAAAGAACACAAAAGGCAAGGAGAGGATGATATTTTATTTATATCTATTATGCGCCACGTTAAATTTTTATTCTTGATTTATTTCTCTAATATTCTCTAATTATTATTTCTTTAATCAAAAATTGAACAAAAAATCGCGAATACTTTTTAAATGACCTAATATTTAATATTAGATATTTATCCTAATTTATTTCTCTAATATTTAATATTAGATATTTATCTTAATTGTATTGTGTTGCGTTAAATTTCTAAGCTCCAACTTTCCTACTTCTAATATTTAATATTTTTTTCCTATTTTCTTAATTTTCTTCCACTGTGCATAAAGCCTTAAGTCAGAAACACAAAGAACATAAGGCACATAAAACATAAGCAGTAAACGAATCACAGGCCAATCACAGAAGACAAAAGGCAAAAATTTTGCATTTTCTATCGTGTGATCAATTCGCTTACTGTTTACATCTTATTTAGCATTGTTAATTTAGCAAAATTTCTATTAGATTTGGAGATTTTTCTTTTTGCCGGGAGATTTTTTGGAGATACAAAAAGTAAGAGAATTTCTGGATGACTTTTGGAGAGGAAAATACGAAAAAATAGTAACACATATAAAATAAGAGCATAAAAAACCATAGCACAAGTTATAGTTTGTGATATTTAATTATTATTACATTAATTAAAACATTAAACGTTTCGGCCACAATCTGGCCATCTTCAGTAATTCAATAATATTCTTAAAACGCAGAGTTACATCTAGTTGACATTAAATTCAACAGTCGGCCAATCGAGAGTTGTAATTAAATAAACATATTCTTTTATATGTGAAGATGCTTCATACAGTAATGTTACACCGTCAATTGTCATATCAAGAAAAGTGTAGAACAAGAATTTCCAAATTCTAAATAAAATTGTATATATTAAAATCTCGGAGATTCATCGTTTGGTTTTTTTGCTGTAAAACAGATAATGATTGTATTTCTTTATATTCCGACTAGAAGATTTTAATATATACAATTTTATTTAGAATTTGGAAATTCTTGTTCTACACTTTTCTTGATATGACAATTGACGGTGTAACATTACTGTATGAAGCATCTTCACATATAAAAGAACATGTTTATTTAATTACAACTCTCGACTGTTGAATTTAATGTCAACTAGATGTAACTCTGCGTTTTAAGAATATTATTGAATTACTGAAGATGGCCAGATTGTGGCCGAAACGTTTAATGTTTTAATTATAATTAATAATTGTAATAATAATTAAATATCACAAACTATAACTTGTGCTGTGGTTTTTTATGCTCTTATTTTTTATATGTGTTAATATTAGAACCACGTTAGTTTCAAGATATTTTCGAAAAAATAGTCTAAATTATAGCTAAAATATAGCTAAAATATTGAAAAAAATCGTAATATAGATCACAATATGAAGGATAACTTTCGAACAGACTTGGCAACAGTGGATTCTATTGCCTTAGGGCTTAAGCACAAGATGGCTGTAACCGAGTCATGGAACGTTAATTGTAGTCATAGGTCGACACACAATTTTGGCATACATACAATTACGTCAGGGGACTTATTACGGGGGGTTCTTTAGACGAAGTGAAAATTACAAAAATGAGTAAACTCACAGGTGTTAACCAATCAAGTATAAATATTCTATCAAGTATAAATATAGTAAATTCGATCATTTTCGTAATTTTCACCAGTCTGTTTTTTTTATTACTATATTAGACTACATTAAAACTTCTTTCTTGTTTTCAAATATCAAATATATATATGTCTCACTTAGGTTCCAAAAGTATATACTAGTTCAGCTATAGAAAAAACAAACCTATAGTGCATTGATCTACTTGTCGGTTACAGTTCTCTTTGTGCTTAGACCTTTACGTTTTCCTGCGTCATGGACTTTATTGTTAGTGAATTCGGTCACACATAGTGTGAATGATTTAATATAGTGCGAGTCTCACATTATACTAAATCAGTACATATTAAAAAGATTATTATTTATATTAAGTATTTAAATGCAGTGATATAATGTAACTTTGAATGAAATAATATGAATATATTATAAAATATATCTATCAAATTGATTTACTGTTGAAATAATACATGTATATTCTTAAATAACGTTATCATTATTGAATATTTAATCGTTTAAAATATTTAATATGCTTCGACATTAATTTTGTTGACTTTATATAATAGACTTTATATTCAGTATGCAGTAGGTTTAGTATAATGCAAGTAAATTCGCTATTTCGTAAATCTCGTAATCTCCACGAACTCCGACTCGTTCTGACGGATCATGAGAAATATTCGTAAAGCGTGACTTGCCAAATTGTGACGATGCTGAATAGTGGCGATCTCGAATCCTCTCTATATCGCTATTTCTCTCTTCCTCGACTGACCTTCGGTGTTACGAAATAAAGCGCAATTCACGCGAAACAGAAGTGCGAAACAGTATTATACATCAAAGAAAGAACTTCCGAATTATATAATTCGTTTTCGGGACTCTCTCGTCTGTTTCGACCATAAAAACACGAGTAGCTTCGTTACAGTCGAATTTCGACTGTACTTTCAGAGAGAAAAAAGGGCAGCTGTAACTAGAACGATCATCCGGCGTCGTTCATGTCGTTGGTTTGTCCCAATTTTGTTGAACAAAACGTCAATTCCACTGAGAAATTGTGTGACGAATGGCGAACAAACGATTTAGAAAATTCGGAATAATGATGATTACCTTGAAAGAGCTTCCTCAAAGAAGACTGCGAACCGCCAAAGACGAAAGAATGACGAGGAGAGAACAGAAATTCACCGGCGACCGGTCTCTGAATGAAGTCTGAGAACCTTTTGATATCGACCGCTGCATATATACACGAAGAAGTCGAACAGTGTGGGCAATCATCACGACATCTAGCGGTGCTATCGTACACCATACCGTGTGAACGTGGAAACAAAGGAATCGTTCTACTTGCACTTCATGCACTCGAACGGTGCACTTCCTCTTTGATTTTTCTCTTCGAACGTGGGCATTCATATCGGTTCGAGTGCATAAAAACCGCTAAGAAGAGTGCAAACAAAATGTAAATTTTTTTTGTTTTTGTTAAAATCTGTTCTTTAAGATTTTGGTAACAATTAATCCTATCAACATGGCATTACCTTAAATTTATCTTTTATTGCTGCACTGTGAATTGCATTAAAACTTTTCTTTGCGCTCTTATCAAATAAACATAAATTTAACGTAAACATAAATTTCTCTTTGAGTGCTAAAAAATGTACAGCTGGTCACAAAAAGGTTGCAACACTTTTTTTTATGAGTTTCAGAATGCAGCCAGAACTCGCCAAGCAATTGGTTTTTATTTATAGATCTATGAATAAGAATCAATCGCTCGATGAGCAAGCTGCATTTCGAAACCCATCAAAAATAAAGTTGCAATTTTTCTGTGACCGGCTATATACTATTCATAATTCAGTTATAAAAGATGGATCTTTTTTGCTGCGTTCATTATATTCACACATATTGAAAATTTATAGTAAATGTAACTATAGATTTTCAGTACTTGCAGTGAATAATGAACGCACTCTTTATTCAAGGGAAACATCCTTAGGATTTAAATGTCATTTAAATGTCTTAAGAATGTTTCTTGTGTCCTGTACATTATATTTTTGTATGTACTTAAAATGAAATAAATTCTTAAAGGTTAAAAATTATTAAACTTGACTATTAAAAATAAGAGTTCTATTATTTCGAAAAAAATATATAGGAATCTGGACAATTTTATTCTGAGGAAAAACCCCAGGTCAATCTTCTTTCACTTGACGTATGAAATGCAGAAACAGTACTGGTAGATCACGTCCACTTGATTCTACGAAGTATTTTTTGATTGGTCAAAGTTCTTTCTTCTGATTGGTCAAAAGCATCTGTAGCGCCAAGTTGGACTGTTCCCTAGAAATCAAAGGAGAACGAATTTCCTGAAGTTAGCAGCACTGATATTTGCATACTTACCGGGCAGATGACAGTGTAGACACATAGTGGAGTATCTCGCAATTTTTACTCCGAATTTACTCAATTAGTCGGATTATATCAGATTTCAGTTCAATTCATGTGCTCGTGGATTAGTTAGTATCTTTATATCGGTATTGTTTGAAGAAAATTGTATTTATCACGTATACGATTGACGACAGCTAACCTCTCGGTAGACGCTACAGTTGTCGGAAAGTTATCATTTCAGGGTAAGTTCATTTGTCGTTCTTCACTCAATTTGTTTTGAATATGTATATTTCTTAAAGATATGTAGACGAATATTTAAACTGCCAAATGTCCTTCCCTTTCTTCTTTTTCTCCTTATACAAGCTAAATGTCTTTCCGTAATGCCGCTATGATCATTTTGCACAAGAAAATAATATTTAGGTTCCATTTCTCATAAATGTAAGATTAACTTTAATCTTAGTTCAATTCACTCTTTTCATTCAATTCTTAGAATTAGAAGAAGATAAAGAGTAAATTTAATCGATATTATAAGAATGCTTTTCTTTATTTTCTTCTAATTCCAAGAATGAAAAAAGAATATAAAGAGTGAATTGAACCAAAATTAAAGTTATTCTTACATTGATGGAACCAGATCTTAGAAAATGAAAAGCATAATAAAAATAATAACAATAAATAATAAAGTGAGAATAATAAATAAGAGAGAAGAGAGTCGGGTATGAATAAATCGCCGTCTCGTAAACATAATGTGTCGTACGTGCTAATTATTTCAGCGTTATTTGTCTTTAATAACAACAATCTGTATAAATAATACATCTTTTGCGTTATGCCACGACATCGAAGGAACGATGCTATAGCGAATGTGTTTCTACGCGCGATTTCGCGGCGCCGTCACGTCGTCGCCGCGGATCCCGGGATACACAATTCCGATATATAAATACACGCGAATATATCTGCGTGTGCGTTATACCTTTTATTTGTAAGAATGATAATATACTTTTTGGCACTTACTAATAATTAATCGAAACCTAGTGAGGGAGGGGACGGGGGTGTGAGGGATGAGGGAGGGATTTTTTATTTATTTATTAAACATTAGACGAATGCGTTAGGCTCGATTTTTCGCGAGAGAGAGATCCCTCGGCACAATTCCTTTCTCTCCTCCGTTATTTTCCCCCGAACTCCGCCTTAAGATCGTTTCCGAAGTGAATCTACATTAGGTATGTAAGGAGAGCCGATCTCTTTCTCGCTAGAGAATGTCCGGGATAGTTCAGTACGTGGTGATGCGGGGAGATCTTGCGAGGACGATGGGATGGCCGTTGGGCGCCGTGATCGCCCAAGCGTGTCACGCGTGCACCGCTGTTGTCCATCTCTCTTACAATGACGCCCACACGCAGGCCTACCTCGCGGATTTAGACAACATGCACAAGGTGGTCCTCGAAGTAAGTATTGACTTTCGCGAGGGAAGTTTGCGAGCTGTTAATCCGCGCGCCTTTAATCATGGGACGTTTGTTCCGCGATGTATTTGCAGAGGGAGAATTATAACTACCGCATTGTAGGTCTGTTCTTTGTGGCTAAACTTGTGAGCGTATTCAAGATTTTTTTTCGGGGAGATTAGCAATTCTGTTATCATATAAATAGCAATTTTTTACATTAATGAATTGTTTTTTGGATATTTTCATAGCTTAAAATGTTTCTTTTTTGTTCCTGATTTTAAATGAGAAAAATATCAGGTTTTGTAAATTATAACTTTGTTTTTCCCGAAGAAAATATGGGCAAAATATACATTGAGAGAAAAGTGTTTGGTATTCGTGATTATAATTGCATGATAAATAATTATAATTAGGAGCTCCTTCTTTTTATGGTTATTAGTGCTATAACATTAGTAATAATAACCATGTATGTGAAAAATGAATTATAAATTATGATAATTTCAAACATTAATACAATAAAATATCATGTAAATAGTATGTAAATAGTAAATAAAGTAAACATTTTTATTTAGTAAATGCAATTACTATATCCTTTATTCACTTATTATTTATGTGATAATAATAACTAAAAAATATGTTTAGAAAAATCAAAGATTTTCAAGTAGCGTATGATAAATAACAATTAAATATATTTACATAAATATATAATTCGTCCCAAAAAATATAAATTAGTTAAATTATGATAATTGCAACCTTTTTTTCTCTCAGTGTAGACAAAAATTTCATGGAGAAGAGGTTTAACTCTCCAAATTCTCCTCTAGATACTTAAAATAAAATAGATATATATTTGTAGCTTGGTAAAAGAGAGAAAGGAAATTTCAATGCAGTCCAGTACAGCGACAAAGAACAGACCCTATCTGTTATTTCGTAAAATATTTCGAACGCTGTAAAAATGCCCAAACGAATCATTCTCGAACCATTGGATAAAATTACTACGTGAAATCACGAGTATGAATAATAGGCTGCCGATGAAGCCGGTCTGCAGACATTGTGCGCAAAACTGAAGGAGGACAACATTCAGCACAAGCTATGGATAGAACAGCCCGAGAACATCGCGACGTGTCTGGTAACGAAGCCCTACCCCAAGGACAAGGTGCAGTCGTATTTTAAAAAGTACAAATTACTCAAAATGTGACGGATGTAAATGGCAATAAATACCGCATTACGATAAGGACACCGAAGGTCCCTCGAGTTACTTTCTACGTTACACCGAATCCAAATTAATCCTCCCGGCATTGCTTCTGAAAGATTCTAGCCGAAGAAAGGTTTCTGAAAATTTTTATTTCAGGCAAAAACACCCGAATGTGATAACCGAAAGATCTAAGCCTCAGAGGTTCTATAAATGAAATACGATTCTCCGGCGCTCGCGTGAAATAAATACTAACTTTGGAGAAAAATGTCATTTATATATTCTATTCGAGCAGGAAGAAGATCAATGTGCCAGAGATAAGCCGTGCTCTACACACGTGGCTCGAACGTAGCTTCTGAACGTCAATATTGCAACGGGCAACACCTCGGCTCTATCGTTTTTATCTTCTTCATTTCTCCCTTTTTTTCCTAGAAGCGATATTGTCCCGTATGGAAAATATTTACGCTTGGAGGACTACAAACGTCCGAAGAGATAGAAAAAAAAGAGAACACACATAGTTGTGTGAGACGCCGCGGCGATCCGATATTTCTGACATCGAGAAGATTTACGCTCATTGGTTTATTCCACGGGTACCTTGCGAGTATTGACAATGCGTGTGTACAGCCCTTTCTCTTTCCTTGCATTACACATGATACTAGCGTTAGATTACGATTCTAATCTAGACGAGAGTAACGCAGGATCGCGCGGCACTAATCAACTAGTCGTATCAAAAAGCGCCTCGTCGCGCGAGTCTACGGTTGCTTTACGATAAAAGTGTGGCGAAATTTATCTCTTCACAGGTACGGATCGGCGTATGATATAAGAATACGAGATATTTCGTTCCCGAGATGCGAAATCGATGACCAATCCAAAAATATTATAAGCCAATATAGAATCCATTAGAAATTTATCACCAATACTAAATTCGCCATTATGTGCAATAAAATCTTATATTCTTACATCATGGATCGCGTCTCTCCCGCGGGATTAGCTGAAAGGCAACCTGAATTGCATGCCATGGAATGCAATTTTTTTACCCTCGACTGTAGCAATAAGTCATTTGAACTCGAAGCGACAATTTTAAATGGTTGATCTGTACATTTTTAGTATTGAGATTTTGAATTGTAGCTAACGAAAAAAAACTTTGAACCTTTTTCTATCAATCGCTATAAGGCGGAGATTCACTATTCTATATTTCAAATAGGACGCTTTAGAACTCAGATTTTTTCATATAATTTTCTCACACTGAAAAAAATTTAATAAATATAATTTTAATAAATATTTGCTTGAATAGTTCTAAATAAATATTTACTAAACGTAAACATATATTTATTTAATACAAAAATTTGATACATTAGTTTAATTTAACTATTATTTTTTATTGGATGAATATTTATTTACTGTAAGTAAATATTTACTTAGTACTAATCAAAGAAATATGTATTAAAATTTAGTGAAATTTTTTCAGTGCAGCTGTACTTAAAGGAACTTTGAGGATATCTGTATGAATACAATCTCGTACATCGGGCGAGAGTTTTCAAGCGAAATGCAAGACAAAAAAAGGGAATGGATTCGAAATGCGTTTCAGGCCGCATCTAAGAGCTAATCCATCGGTACGTTGCGATCTTCCCCATTTCTCGCTCGTGTCTCATCGTCGTAGCTGCGTTCAAATTCGCAAAGTGTGTCCTCGTCGCCGCAAGATTCGCACGGAGAGCGTTCGAGTTGCACGATAGGCGAACGCGCATCTTCTTCCCCATCCTGTACCATCACGTTCATCCGCAAGATGCGTCCTTCGCGCACTTCACTGCGATTTTTCCTGGATTATTCTTCGTTCGTTTGCTCCAAAATGTTTCCGTCAATCCTGTCGCGACGTTCTTCCACGCGAAGATCATCGTGAATTCGCCCGGAAGACTTCTTTCTGTTCTTCCTCGCGTACAGAACCGGAGGTATCGATCGCGGATCCATCACCGTATACCTTTGTATGTGTGCATATATTATGTGTGTGACGTTTACGGGCAAACCGTATCAGCCGACGATACGACTATCGTCGTCGTCGCGATACGACCGTAGATTCGCAGTAAGCTCTAATTACTTATGTACACGCACTGCGGACGCTAGACACTGTAAGTACACATATTTACAACACTCTCGATGGCAAGATGATTATTTTAGCGTATATATAATATGTATATATATATATATATTTTTTTTTTCTTTCGTAACGCGGTCGTAACGAGACGGAGGCGGGAACGGAAGGATATACAGAAGTCCTTATGAAAAAAATGCGCTATTGTCCTTGCAACATCACTGCCGCTCGTTCTCTTTCTCCTCCCCATCCTCCTCTTCCTCCTGTAGCCATTGGCGCAGGATGTTGCTCCTTGGCTGCAAAACAAAAGGGATAGGTGTCACCGACCATTTATCTTTAAATAGAATTGATGTTCTTCGCATAAGCAAGCTCGAGATCATTTATTCCCGATGGAATCGTCTCGACGCATCCATTGGGCACAAGACAGAAGCTGCACTAGATTTCTAGAAATCTTCTTTTCGAGAGTTTGTCAGCTTAATTTTGAAATGTATAGATCGATGAATGAGAGAAACAAGTGCACAAGTGAGCAGATGATTATACGTGCAGATAGATAAGAAATAAATTAAAAAAGACATTTATCTTGGATATTGGGTGCTTTGATTGTTAATTACACATGATTGGGTCATTCGTCCTATCACATTTTTTTTTTTCGAAGTACTAATATCAAGTTATTAGTTACAATATTTATATACAATTTTTAAAAATATATAAATTCAAATACTTTCTAAAGATGTTAAAATATATCACTTAATATATATATATATATGTGTGTGTGTGTGTGTGTGTGTGTGTGTGTGTGTGTGTGTGTGTGTGTGTGTGTGTGTGTGTGTGTGTGTGATTTGTATACTTGCAAAAGTGGTGAAAATAATCCCGAAACCTACAAATGAATGTTTGTAATAAAGGACCAGAAAATTGTCATTGTGTGTATTAAGGATTAGTATTCGCATTTAATCTTTTTTTATATCTAATAAAAATCTTCTTAAATTTTTCTCTTTGTATTAATGAGTTGCAAAGAAATAGGAAAGAAAAATTTGCGTGTAATTGTTTATGCGTTTCTAATAATTAATAATTAATAAAAATTAATAATAATAATTAATAAAAATTAAAGATTCGTTTAATTCTCAATAAGAACGTAAGCGCTCATGAACACATTAATGGATTAGAAAATGTGCAAGCAGTTTACATATAAAAGGGATAGACCTACAAGAGATTCTGACAATTCTACTCGCATGGCGGATTCCGCTAGGCTTTGAACATACATAAAGCAGCGTTTTATCTTCGATATTGCAACCAATAGATATCGCATTAGGAAGCAGCAAGTACAATAGGATCTCATTGCGAAACCAAGCTGTCGACGAACATCGCATTGCGTTAGTACTATTATGGGATTCGCAATTACCAGGATCACGTTAGTTTGGGAGAACGGGGTGAGACGAGTGATGAGGGTGGCAGTGGTGGTGGTTGTGGTGGTAGTGATGATGATGGTGTCGGTATTGGTGGTAGTTGTCGGTAGTTATTAGGGCAGCGCACAAAAACGAGCATTATTGCTCAGCTAGATTCCCGTTCGGGTCCGTATAGTCGTCGTACTCGTCCTCCGGCTCCTCGTAATCCGTTTCCGCGGGCTCAGGACCCTCGATCGCTGGCACGGACGTGCTCGTGATGTCCTGCTAAGCACACACCAGAATCCAAGCGTACCCCGGCACTACTTCTCTCTATCCCTTTTATCCCGTTTGGTATTAGTAGACTATTAGCGCTGTTGTTATAATACCCCCGTAATAACTACCAAAGAACGCGATCTGTTTTTGCTCGGACAATCCGCTTTTGTCAAACACTATTCGCTTTATCAACTGATTAACACTAGATATCGTCAACGGTATCCTGCTAGAACTGTCGAAGGTAGCCAATTTGATAATTTTATATCCTTGTTTTCGGTTAATGAAGATTTATCTTCATATTATTTATATTATATTCATATTTAATATTCTGTATATTTAATACAAAAAAAAAAATTAATGGAATCGTCGGCGATTCTAGTGTTAACCCTCCGTGGTCCAACGTTTTTTTTTGCACTAGTTCAACCGAGTCACTGCTGCCTGATTATATTTTTCAAAGAGTTTTTGAAAGTTATAAAAAAATCTGAAAAAATTCTGGTGTACTCTTTTAACATTCAAAAATACGATTTTACAACGCAATACGAACGCAACGTTTTGTTTTTGTACGTGCCCGAATTTGAGGTAGAATAATTCAAAATAGAAAATTCGCCTGGGTCTTCAAAGCCCTGGTTGGACCATGGAGGGTTATTTCGAAATCCACGGGAGACTTATGGAGCATTATCATTTTATCTCTAATGCACTGCGAAATTAGTGTCCAATGGAACACCTGCGCGTTTCTCTCATTTTGCGAAAGCAACTGTTATATAATTTCATGAAAAACTGCATAATATCTATATAATTATGATTAATAAACCACGATCTGAAATATTCCCAAGGATCGTAATATCTATACGTATTTGTCTTAACGCACTTTTTGTTAATTTCTCTCGCTACGAATTGAGATTATATACGGCGCAATTTTTCCCACAATCCCTTCTGCCCACAAACTCCGAAACAAAATAAAGCTATCGATTACCTGCGGTGGTCTCCAGCCACAGCCCGGTAAGGGGAGTCCATCCGGTCCCAGCGGACATGGGGCATCCAATCCTGGAACACCTTGATCTCCCTTGTTGCCCTTGTCGCCTTTTCTGCCGCGTTTACCCGGCGGCCCCTGCGCGCACACGCGAAATGCATCATCTTTCTGACAGCGCGAAACACCCGATGCAAGTACGCGACGTGCAAATAAGGCCAGGCATAATATTGTTGGATTATGCATTATAGTACTTGATCGATCCGGTGCACAATACCCCGACGAGTACAAAGAGCGAAGGTGAGCCTGTCGAAGGTCGCAGTTTAATTATAACGGA